ATGTGCTGCTCTAACAACTCACAGGAATCTGTCATGCAGTTATTTTGCAAAGCACAGTTAAAATTCTGATTCTTAAGAATGGAGGAATACACAAAAGATGAACAATATGGGTTTGGACTTTGAATGGCTAAATTTTTTTAAAAAGTAATTATTTTTTTAATTTTTAAATTGTATCATTATTATTATTTTACTAGATGTAGGGATTCCCCTGCCCCTCTTTTACCTGCCTCCCCATTTTGCCCTCTCACCATTTCCCCTCATATTAATACAGTAATAGGGTCCATTAGTAACAGTTACATGTTTAATATTCTGCTCTTTAAGTGCAGTATAGCATTGTAGGAATAGGCAGTTGTAGAAAGTCTAGTGTCAGATTGTCAAGGCATATTTAACATTTCATTAGGAGTCTTCCTTTTATTCAAGAGTAGATGTGCATACTGTGATGTATCTTTATTTCCTGGTATGTTACTCTGAATGGATTAAAAACTAGAAAATTTTTGACATGCTCACTTATGAGATCTACCCTTGTAACAGGTTTTAGCTGCACAATACAGTATTGTTATCTATAAATAACAAAAATCTGAAGTTAATATTATTTAATGGCATGTTTCAGTATTGTACAAGATGTGAATATATTCATAACTAGTATATTCAATTATTTTCTTTGCTTTACAATATATTGTATTTAACCTGATTTTTCTTCCACTGAACACTTTCATTTGTCACCATTTTCACTCCTTTGAAGTATATCCTTTGGAATTGTTTCACTAGGTGCCCATGAGCAGTAAAAATTCTTTGTATGCATAATTCTTTATTTTGCCATCCCTCATTGAAATGAGCGTTACTGCCTAAGCTGCCAACAATCTAGCATGCTGACATGGTTACGCCTTAGAAAGACTCTAACCCTTTAGCCAAAGGTAACAGGACTCCTCTTTTATAGCCGTCGTCTGTGACTGATTGCTAAGTTGTAGGAAGGCCTAGTCCACTTGCCATAGCTCAACACAATTTAAAGGTACCTTAGATCATAAACAAGGCCTTGGGGACATGCTGCTAGTCGATCTTTCTATTCTAATTTGGCCAACATCTCTTTTTATAGGTATTGATAACCAATTCATTCCTGAATATACTCAGTAAAGTCATCTCTGATTCATCATAAGCATCCTGGGAAAGGCAAACCAAGACAGTTGATATCAGGTGCTTATGAGACATCAGAAACGAAAATGAGATTTATAATGTGAACTACATGCCACCTGATGGTCAGATGGTCAGTGAGAACCCTCTCACTGATTGTAGGTGTGGGATAGATAGATATGACACAATGAAACAATAAAGTAGTTAAAGCTTTTACTCAGTAAGACTGCAATAGTATTGTAATGGAGGAAAATATACTAGTGGATGTAACATATCATGTATTTGAGATATCTGAGGGAAACACTAGACTGGAGGACAAGAACATTGACTGTTATTAATATCATTGATCCTTTGGAAATATCAAGCAACCAAGAGTAATTAATTGACTGTCAAACTCTAAGAAAAATCCAGAATTTTATTGGTAGCATATGAAGAGGCTTTCATCTCTTGCAGTGGGAAGGCCGAAACAGCTGAGGAACAGGCCCAACATTTAATCTTACGTGTGGCCGAGCTCCAGAAGAGATTATTCATAAAGCTCAGCTGGGTTGGCTCTGCCGAGGTCAAAGAGCTGGATCGGAAGCAGAGGACTCTGATGCACAAAGCGAGCCGCCACAACTGAAAATCCTGAGTTTCTGGGTCCCCTGAATGATCGGATAAAAGCATAGCGCAATATTTTTGCGGAAATGGCTAGTCAGTTCCTCGACTGCTCCCAAATTGAAAACTGTCAATGCTTCTCATAATGGTACAATCTACTTTCTTCCAGGTCTGCCCTGGATGTACTTCTAGAAATTAATTAGGCTTAAGCTACATAAGTAAGGCAACAATCCAATAATGAATCCCAATTCCTCGTACAGTTTCTGGTTCTGTACTAGCTTTTAAACCTGGAAACCATCCTCAGAAAAGACTCAACCATGGAGGAAAGCACGGAAAAGTGGACATTGTGATCATTTCTGCAGTCTTCCCCAGAGAGTCCTTTGCAATTTTCTGGGATATATACTGGTTAAAGAGAACATTACCATCTTTTTTTATGGAGAGATACCAGAATCTACTTACTTCTGCATTAAGATTTATAAGACAAAGTTTCTTCGGAGATCTCCCCAATCAAAATGCTGGATTCAGAACCCTAACCAAGAAAAGAGAGAAGACAGAACAGGTCAACCAACCATCTCAGCTATATCTTGGCAGCAGAATACGGGGCAAACAGAGACTCTATGATGGACTATGTCAATCAGTGGATTCTTCAAGGACCTCATAGTGTTTGGAGTGGCAAGATTGACAGCAATTCATAACTGTTGAAATATCAAAACCACTTGAGCAAGAACCTCAGAGCTTACCCTACCTACATCTGGGACCTGGGGAGGGTGGGCCTTCTCCCTTAATATCCCCCTTTAAACATGAAGGAAACAATATGGAAAAAATAACAGTCTTACCCACAAAAAAAATTCCACTTCCATTTTTTTATTGGCTTGCAAAATGTAGTGTTTTTTCATATGAATGTGACTTAATGCTAACATGTAACAGAAGGCTAATCAGCAGTGTTTCTAATGAATTAAGAAATATTTAGGGCCTGAAACAATGACTCAGTGGCTAAATTTTCACCTTGCAGGTGCCGGGATTCCATAAATGGGCACTAGTTCATATCCTGGATTCTCCACCTCCCATCCAGCTCCCTGCGTGTGGCCTAGGAAAGCAGTAGAGGATGGCCCAAAGTGTTGGGACTCTGCACCCACATGGAAAAGCCGGAAGAAAGTCCTGGTTCCTGGTTTTGGACTGGCTCAACTCCAGCTGTTGGGGCTACTTGGGGGGGTGAACCAGTAGATGGAAGATCTTTTTCTCTGTCTCTGCTATCTGTAAAGCTACCTTTCTAATAAAAGTAAGTCTTTTAAAACTAAGAAATATTTTTAAATTTTATTATTCTAACATGCTATAGGGTAAATAACAATAGATATAATCCTTCTAAATAAAAGCTCATTTGAGTCTATAACAGTTTCTAGTTTTTTAAAAGGGTCCCGAGACAGAAACATGTGAGAATTGCAGTATCACATGGCCAAGCCAGTCATGTATTTTTAGGGCAAGCAACAACCTCTCTGCTTGTGAAATGAGCAATTAATGCTACACATGTCAAGTGCTTAGGCTGACCGGAGCAAAAAACTATGATGTAGAACAGCCGTTATTGATGCTACCTTGTCCTCTTTGTGATACAGAAGGTGGGAATCTCTGCTGAAAGTAGTTGTTGTATTTGACAAAGCCACTGTAGAGAACATCACTTTTAGAGCCCATCAGAAAACACAGAGATTGAATGGCAAACACGGGTGTCAGCAGGTAGGATTCTATTAATTTGGAATAGAATCATGATGGTATGACGTTTTCCCCTTAACCACATTCACAAGTTCAGTGAAGGAAGGCAAGAAGGAAGTAGGAAGGAAGGAAAGAAGGAAAGAAGCAAGCAAGGAAGGAAGGAAACAAACAAAGGGAGAACAAAAGAAAGAAAAGATGTTGTAACCAGAACTAGAAATATTCTAATTAAGTGATCAGAAAGACACCATGACAGATTGACGGAAGTGATACATTCTTTTGTAATGTGGGAATACAAAAGAGAAGAAGAGGAGGAGGATGAGGAGGAGAAGCCAAAGGGATGATTGACAAGGAGAGAATAAGAGACAAAAACTTCTGGGTTCTCTATTGGAAGAGAAAGCTGAAGAGTCGACAAGACAGTAGGCCATGAGGTTGGACATTCGTGTTTTGGATTTCGGTGAACAGTCCCATCCAATGACAAGGCCCAAAGTGTGCTCATGAAAACCAAGAAAAGTGGAGTGACTGGCTGCTGGAGGTGAAAAATTCAAGGCCCCAAGGGTGAAGAGCCTTCCACCTAGATGTTTATGTGCTGATCATGATGGCAGGCTCCAAAATTCTCTACCAAAAAGGAGTTAAGTATACAATAGTAGCTCTGAAATAAAGTGGGGTGGCCTGGGAGAAATGAGATGTGACCCTGTTGTGCCAAGACTGGCCTTCCCTTCTCCGGACCGGCTGTTGGTCAGATGTTTAGAGCAAAGCAGGGTGTATGGGGCAGGACGTCCATGCTTCGGTCACCCAGCGTGAGCACACAGCTGGGGCAGACAAAGGAATGGAAATGGAAGCAGAGAGTCCAGGGGAAAGAAGCCATGTGGTAGAGGGTGTCACAGGCACCAGCAGGCACAGCTGGTGCAGCAACCCAGACAAGGTGGGATGTGAAACTCCCAAGACGCAGGGAGCAACCAGAGAGTACTCCCTTGTGAGTTCGTGTATTTCTTCCTTTTGCATTTCTCTCTTCTCAGAGTTCTTTTCTTGAAAATAAACATATATGAGAGAGAGAGACAGAGAGAGAGAGACGGGGCTTGCGTTGCGTTGTCTGCCCCACTTTGCCTTCCCCAGCACTCCTGTCCTCGCGGCCTGCCCTCCCCTTGCAGGTCCTCTGGTCTGCTCGCCCCAGCAGGTGAGTCACCGCCAAGGTGAGCCGAGCCGGGGCGGGCCTCGTAGAAGTGGGCGGGCCATGTCCCGTCGACGTGCGCCGTAAGGACGCTGCTGACGTCAGAGGACGTCCGGCCTGTCTCCCGGCGTCCGAAGCTGGCCCTTGGCTGGAGTGCTGCCTGGCGGGGTGGCTGCTGTGCGGTGCGGGGCCGGCTTCCCGCCCTCCCCTCGGCCGCGGGAGTGCGCTCCGTCTCCGCGCGGAGGCCCGGCGTGGGCACCAGGTAGGGTGGCCGAGGTGGGGACGGCCCCGCCGGCTGCGGGCGCCGCTTGCACTCCCCGCGGCCCCGCACGGGGTCCTGGGCCGTGCCCCGCAGGTTGAAGGGAGGGATGCGCTCCCGGTGTCCGCCGCGGACAGCAGGGGGAGAGCGGTGAGGGTGGGCTCGGCCTGGGATTCCGAGGACCCCCGGGTGACCCACGCGGTCTCGAGATTGTTTTCTGAGAACTTTGCTCGGGGCCGTCGGCACACGTGGGGGCTTTAGGTTCCTCCTGCCTGGGCTGTCCATATATTTCCCCATCTTGTGTACTGTTTGATTTTTGACGGGACATCCCACATAACATAAGATTCAGGCAAATTTTTCTAAAGGTGGTATTTCTTCAACAGCGACGAAAGTCTTCTAATTGGTGTACTGGGCTATAGTAAAGGTGTACACTCTGCAACCTCAGTTTGAAACTAGTTCCCTCGGTATGCTCGCTGCATGGAGAGAGAGGAAGTTGACTTTTAGCTTCCAAAGCCACTGTCAGGCCTTTAATAATCCTTAAATAATAAATCCTTAAATCCTTTAATAATCCTTTAATAATAATAAGGTGTCACGTGGCTTAATCTGTTTTATTTTGATGTTGCCTAAAGTAAACAATTTTTTCAAGTTTGTCACCATCAGGTTATCTGAATTTATAGCTTAAGAAAGTGATTTAAGCTGGGTAACTATTGCACCCTTTAATGCCTTTCTGTTAACATATGCCTAATGAATTTTGTTCACTTAGGAGCAGAATCCTTAAGATGAGCGAAACTTTCGTAGTGGGTAAAGAAACTATCTTGGCTTTTATAAGTAGTAAGAATAGTAACTGCTTATTTGAAAGGCAGTGAGTGGTGGGTAGAGCGTCCATCCTCTGAGCCGGAATGTGGATGCCAGGGCTGGGCGGAAGCCCACAGTCCTGTTTCCCATGTCAGTACCTGGGGCCCAGGTACCTGAGCGGCTACTTACTGTCCTGCAGAGCCTGCATTAATGAGGCGCTGCCTTCCCTGGCCGAGCCAAGGCCTTGGCCAGGGCTCTCGGATGTGTGGGCGTCCCAGGAGTTGTCAGTTCCTGTGCCACACAGGATCCATTTCCATTTTTTGGACAGTGTGCTAATGAGTGTCTTATATTAAAAGGCATGTACTTTATTTGGAAGACTTGAGCTTAACGTAAATCTGATAAAACTGTATTAAAAAGTTGAGAATAAGAGCACTTTATTCCATTAGGCCGTAACTCACTAAAATATGAAAGGCAACCTGGCAATTACAGCTTTTCTGTTCTCTTGTGTGGAAGGAGGGAAAAATGCCTAAAAAGAAGACTGGGGCCAGGAAGAAGGCCGAGAACCGCCGGGAGCGTGAGAGACAACTGAGGGCTTCCCGGGGCACTGTGGACTTGGCTAAACACCCGTGTAACGCCGCAATGGTAACAGCTTGTCTGTCTGCTCTCAGTTGACAGTTGAAAAATTATGTTGTATTTTACCTGTAGTCACATGTGTAAAAATGTTCAGTGAATGTTGTGTACCTTTGATTACCGAATTTGAAATGTGTGTTAGAGGCGTGTTCACTGTTTACACTTAACAATGAATGATGGTATGTTTTGATAGAGCAATATTTATGAAATCTGCTATTGATGGCAGTTATTTAATAAGTAAGAAGTATGTAACATTTTTTATATACCTTATCTCAATTTGTTATGATTACAATTTTTCCTTTTTAAAAATTTTTCTTAATGTAAAGAGGACAGATTTCTTGGGCGTAATTCTGAGGAGGTGACCTTACTAACTTCTCTCTCCTTTGCTTTCCCCAATCCCTCTTCCTTCCTGTTTTTATTTTTTTCCTTTAACTTTTGCAATTATGTAATTTGAATTTACTTTATAACCACAGGTTTAATGTACCAATAACCATAATGCTTAACAAATAAGTAGAAAGACCGCTGTTCCACAGTAGTGTAGACAAGGGCTAAAAACAGTAATCAGTTGATAAGATCTTTTTGCTTTGTATTCTGTATTAGCTGCCACATACTAGGAAAAAAAAACATATATTTGTCTTCTTTGGGACTGGGTTATTTAACTAAGCATGGTGGTATCCAGTTGTATCCGGTTTTTTGCAAGAGACGAGAATTCATTCTTTTTTTGTGGCTGAGTACTATTTCATTGTGTGTGTGTATAATTATTTTATATATACATGTACATATATATAATATCACATATTCTTTATATAGTCATCAGTTGATAGATATCTGGGTTGATTCCATATCTTAGCTATTTTAAATTTGAGCTGTAATAAAGCAGAAGGTATTGATAACTGATATGCTGATTTCATTTCCTTTGGATAAATTCTCAGGCGTGGAATGGCTGGGTCATGTGGTAGATATATTTTTGGATCCCCATGCTGTCTTTCAGGGTCATTGTGCTAGTTTACATTTCTGCCAGCAGTAGGTTAGGGTACCTTTTTATCCACATCTTCCCTAGCATTTTATTATTTCTTGATTTTTGATGTTAGCCATTTTAGCTGGGTTGAGGTAAAGCCTCATTGTGGCTTTGGTTTGCATTTCTCTGATGGCTAGAAATCCTGAGCATTTTTCCACATGTGTGTGTTTGGCATTTGAATTTGATTCTCTGAAAAATACCTGTGTAATGTCGTTTTTTCTTAGGAATTGTTAACTCATGTGATTTGTCGTTTCTGAACTTTCCAACTTCTTGGCATGTCTTTTGGTTTCTTGTTCTGTTACCTTATCTGCTGTGTGAGGTGTGTGAAGGTAGTTTTGATGAACTTCTAGGTTGATCTGAATTATGAAAGCTATGAAAAGCAAAAGGTTGTGTCATCATTACTTTTTTCCTTTCTTTGACTATGAATCTGTGAATTACCTTTTTTCTATCCTCACTGGTCCCTTGCCCCCTTTGTTGTGCTTTTTGTCAGTAAGTGTTGGTTGTACAAGTCTGTGCTGAGTGATAAATTAGATATTTTGGGGAATAGATGACTGACATGTTCCTGTTTCCTCAAACTTACAGCTCAGATGTGTTATTTATTACTCAGGATTTAGTTGCTGATAAATGTCAAAAATGAAGTAGCTCATGTAGCTGGAAGAGGAAAGAATCCTGAAATTGTGTGTCTTACATCACATGTTGTTGTACTCAGAGAAGAAAGGACTCTGATAGGTTGGCTTTGAGCTAGTGCCTGTGCCATTACTAAGATGTTATGCGGCAGAGAGAAGCCAGAATTATATAGCACAGTTGTGGGAGTGGGGCCTCCCATTGTGTGTCAGGGTCTTTTCCAGAAAAGTGCTTAGCACGCAATGCAGTAAGTAATTATTGCTTATTAATATGTATTATGGCATGCACATCTACCTGTGATGAGAACTGTGTTTTAGTAAGTGTATCAGTAAATGTACAATGAATTAGGACCAAGAGGTGAGAAAGTTGAGCCTGTTTGGAGGGGGGTACAGTTCCTGGAGTAAGTGGTATTGTCACCAGAATTTGTATTGGGTAGATTTGTGGAAAGATATTATTATTATTATTTTCATGGTATACAAATAGAAACAGGATTTTATTTAATAGCATGAGAGAAAAATACACATTCATGCATTATTGTAGCCTGCCTGACTGGGAGAAACGCCTGTCTGGTGTGCCAGACAATTGTTGGAGCAGAGAAGCTGGGGGGTAAAAAGGAGAGAGGGTGCTTCACCTTTGTAGCGCCAGTCATGGTCTTTGATGGAAGAGAGAGTGGGATGAAGTATTAAACTAAGATGTGAGGGAAGAATAAAAGACAGCGTGGAGAATTTACTGCTATTCTGACTTGAATGTGCAGGGATTTTGTCAGCAAGGTCTATAAAGACTGTGGGGAGTTTTTAAAGCCATGGTTAGGAATTTGGGTGTTCTGTGAAGCTTATGTGTTTTTATTTATTTTTTTAAACTTCCATTTTGTAGAATATTATTCCATAACCAACAGTTTAAAAAGCACTATTATATGTAGATTACTTTGTGATAATGCCATGCCCTCTAGTGTGGCAGCACAAGTACCTGGGTTATACTTTTATTGCTTAAATATCTTTATATACTGTATTTGAGGGTGGGTTGGAGAACCTGGAGTAGTAGTACTTAGATTTTAAATTGAGAAACTGAGCGTTTTGTTTATAATGCAAGTAAATTTGCAGTTTTCAGTTAGCAAAAACAATGTTTTGTTTTTATATTTTACAGGAATGTGACAAGTGTCAAAGGTAAATTTTATTTATTCCTTTTATGCATAATAAAATTATACCTCTCATCTTTATATGAAACTTACCATAGTTAAAAATTTTTATTTTACATGTCCAGACGACAGAAGAATAGAGCGTTTTGCTACTTTTGTAATTCTGTACAGAAGTTACCAATTTGTGCACAGTGTGGTAAGTATGTGATAATTAAGGACACATGCCTTTTATCTTAAACATTTGTCAGTTAGTTTGAACTTATGAGTTTATTGTTTATAATCCTGTTATGCATTGCTATTAGTAAAATAACATAGAATGTTATTTGCCTACCAAAAAGTTATCAAATCTTAATTTCGCCTCTGATATAATCTTGGAAATATTTATAGTAATATTTACATCCAGGTTTCCAACAACTTGTTTTAAATCTTAACAGAACTGACATTTATTGTTTTCATAAATTTGGTTTACAGAAAAAAAAATCTTAACAGAACTGACTGCAGACTAAAAACATTTAGTGATTCTTAAGTTTTTGTTATACTGCTTCAATCTTGTCAGTCTTTTTTTTTTTAACTTTTATTTGAGAAGCAGAGAAATAAAGAGCCTCATTTTGCTGATTCACTCAGATTCTTGAACTAAAGGGTCTGGACTAAGCTAAAGCCAGGGACCTGGAATTCTGTTGGTCCAACTACTTATACGTTAGCAGGAAGCTGACCCAAGCACACAGGATTGTCACATCCGACGCTGTGTCTTTACACTGCTCCAGATGTGCGCCCTTCTATTGCTGTTTTCTAAATTTTGATTCCTGGGAAAACTGTGTGTAGTCTGTGTGCTGTTGAGAATCTTTCTATTCCAGATTTTTAAATATTGCTAATGTTTGCGTTTTCTCAAATGTATTCACAAGTATTTGAAATAGAGTTTCTTAAGTCATGTTCCCAGTTCTCCAGCATAGGTAGAAACTTTCCTGAGATAATACAGTGGTAAATGGTATTTCATAGAGCAGCAAAATTAGTGTTTTATAAATAGTCTGATGCAGAACACTCAACAGCAGTAAGTAGTTATTGGAAAAATGTAGTTCAGAAATGCTGCAGGTTTTACCTTCGTTCTCACTGGTGAGATTTGATTCATATTTGTACATTATATATGCAGAAGACCTGCAGTAAGGAAACCTGATTAGTTTTATTGACTCTGGTTTTACTCCACAGACATTTATTTGAACGGCTCTTTCACTTTTGCAATAGTGGTGTTGGGTTTAACCATTTGGAATGTGCTCATTTGTGTGTGTTTCTGAATGATAGTTCACAGCAGGTTTTTAGAGCTACACACTGATTATAGCTAGTGTAGTGTCAGCTTTCAGACAGACATCTTTTAGTTTTAGAATTAATGAAGAAGAGTGCCTACATGGAATTCTTTCCATCTGTCAGTTTTAACAATTTTTATAGAGTGAGAAAATACATTTTCTGGGAGACTATGATACAAGTTCTTGTCTGGGTCTTGGGCTTGAATTTCGTAGTGTTCTGTTTGGATGCATTTCTCCCTTACCGGTTTATGCAGTCCATGTTAGATACGCTGCCGTCGGATGACTGCTGCTTTACTGCGTTTTTCCTCCCCTTTCCTGTTACCTAACCTTGCTATTCAGGAAAGCGTTGAGCACGTGTCTCTTTGGTGTTCCACTTTGTGAACTCTCACATGGATAGTTAATGTGTCATCATCAATCTTCATTTAATATCTAATGAACAGATTTACTGACACTTTTTTTGGGTTGGTAATTTCTATCAGAACTTTTTGTGGATATGTTGTGATATTTTTGTTTTAACATATCTTTGGTTTTTTGGCATATGCACATAAATTAGAATATCTGATGGCCTGTTTGTAACTTTTTGTACAAAGAAGAGTGTGTTAGATGAGTTGAATAATCACTAATGCATTTGGCTTGGTTTGCAATAATCTGTGGAAAAGAATAATAACTTTAGACAAGACTGTTTTCATGGTAAACTATAGATGTGAAGTTTATTTTAAATTGTGCTTTTTAAAGTCCTTCTACCCATCTGGAAATTAATAACATTTTTTAAAAAGTAATCATTAGATATGTGCTACATTTAGGGTTTCTGAAATGTCACTTAGCATTTACATTATTTAGTTCTATAATATATTTTAGCAGATTCGATAGTTTCTAACCTAGGTACTTCTGATTCAGGTAATAAAATCTTGGTTTTATCTATTTTTATTTAAGTAGTAAAATACCGATTTCGCTCTTTTTGATTTTAGATTATTTCCACAGGAACTTTGGTTAGGAAAAAATAATTAAAAGGAAAAAGAATGTATATTCTATATTGAAGAACTAATATTGCAAAATTTTTTCTTTACTAGGGAAAACAAAGTGCATGATGAAGTCTTCTGATTGTGTCATAAAGCATGCTGGTGTGTACAGTACTGGCCTTGCAATGGTGGTAAGTATCGTATCATTATTTCGTAGAACAGTGGATTTGTAAGGAGAATAAAATGATTTGGACCGCTGTGTTTGTTCTGCTTTTGCCTCTTGTGTCTTCCCTGGGTGGCTTCGGTCTGTGGATCTGGGTTATCTGTGACAGGCTCATTGTATATTTCCCTTTTTACCCACATGTCTGGGCCTCCTTTTTTTCCTGTTGAGCAACATCCAAGGAGTGGAAACTTAAAATCATTGTTGGTTTAGGTAGAACTTCTCAGTGGTACCTTTTTAATGCCTAAATCAGACTGTAAAATATAAAATAATATTTACTATACTGAGAACACTGCTTAACAACATTCAAGCCTTTGTTAAAGGAGCAACCTTATTTTTGAAAAGAACCTAGGATTAATAATTGTTTTGAAAAATATTATGTTCTACAGAAGTATGTATAATTAACATACAATCTCTTCATTAAATGTAGGTTTTTCCAAGGAAATTTGCTATTTTAAATAATAGAACAGTTGGATTCTATGATGCATTTTGTTTGCTTTTTCACTAAAACATGTTTTCCTTTTAAAATGTGTTACTCAGTTTTGCTGTATTGTGTGGTTTTTTACTTCTGCACTTGATCTTAGCCAAAAGGCTGAGAAGCGATTGGTTTTTTACTTCTGGTCTAAATTTTAGACTACGTAGAAAGTGTTTTTGTGGAATCTGTACAATTTTCACTTATGAGCAAGACCATTTTTTCCATTTAGGCAGGTGGTTCACTTTATAGGGTTTCTCTTATGGGAGTAGTAACTACTTCACACCTTGCTTTTTTTTTTTTTTTCCTTTTTTTCCCCTGGCCCTTCCCTGTATTTGTTATCTCTGCTGGATTTCCTAGGTTACCTCCTTTGAGAGTGTCTGCTTAGACCCCTGACTGATCCGGGGGATAAAGTTATGCCTGAGCATCTAGCAGTCACACTCACCGATAATCAGTCTTTACCACTTTGAATAGTAGAATTCTATATTGAGATACAGAAGACTTAGATTTCAAATTCTCTCTAGTTATCCAAATCAAGAACATGATTTTAATTTTGGGCCTCAAGTTTCTTATTTATAAAGAAACAATCATCTAATGTACTGTCAGCTTTTTTTTTTAGGTTTTTAATATTCTGTAGGTGCCAGTGTGTCATAGAAAGAAAAATTCTTCCAGCGATGGTATAGAATTGGAGGTGGAATTGAGAGCTCCACATGTCTTGATATGGAATTCTTTACATAGAATTGTTGCTTAGTTCCTTGTGTTTTACTGATGAACGTAATTAAATGATGTCCTTAAAAGGAAAGGGGAACTGGAAGAAGTTTAGTATTTTCTGTTTTAGAAAATGCTGTATGATTATGAATTATAAGGATAAGTAATCTTAAATCAAAAGTGGTAGTAGTTAAAAATTCATTTTAGTTACAGGGATTATTATATAGACAAGCAAACTAAAACTGGGCTTCAAACTTCATAAGAATCAGAATTTATTTTGAAGGGAACGCTCCCAACTCCCTTGACTTAAATTAATTACAGGGTAAGTATATGTTCTCCCTTAACTTTTTGTTTTGATTTATGGCTACATTTTTTATATCATGATTGTATACTGTATATTGTGGTTGTACAATACTGGTGAGGCAGTTGAATCTTAAGAGTGAGCAGTTAAATCTTTCTTTAGTAAAGCTGTGTACTGTTGTTAGGACTGATACGTGGTTCTGATGGTTACCATTGCTGAAGTAATCGTTGCAGTTGCTCATGTTCTTGTGCTTAGGTCTTCTTGTTTCTTGCTTGCAGGGTGCAATATGTGACTTCTGTGAAGCCTGGGTGTGCCATGGGAGGAAGTGTCTCAGCACACATGCGTGTGCCTGCCCCCTAACTGATGCTGAGTGTGTTGAGTGTGAGCGTGGTGTCTGGGATCATGGTAAGTGACGAGATATAAGCAGTAGTGTTGCCGTGACAGCTGACTTTTAAACATTCTTAAATGCTCTTAATTTTGTTCTTGGTAATGTTAACCCTGACTGTTAGTACTGTTGAGATTATCAGTGTAGAGGAAGGAAGATTTATGTGAGCAGTCTTAGTCTGGTACTTTGTACTTAAGCGGATAAATAGAGGAGTTTTGGCGGGGTGGATAGGCTCTTAGATGATTTATTATGTGAGTAGTGAAAGGAGAATGAAATCACACATTTTTATGGCTCAATTTCAGGTACTTCAATAATTTTTGTATTAGTTGTTATTAGAACAGACGTTACTGTGTAATTTTGATGCATGATTGTGATGTGTAATTTTGGTGTACCTCTGAAATGTTTTGTTTGTTTGAGCTGCTTTACATATAAGGCTTTTACAATCAGGTTTAATCATTTTCAATTTGTACATTTTTAACCAATAGGAGGCAGAATATTCAGTTGCTCTTTTTGCCATAACTTTCTCTGTGAAGATGATCAATTTGAGCATCAAGCCAGCTGCCAGGTTTTAGAAGCAGAAACATTTAAGTGTAAGTTTGGTTTGCATATGAGATATTCTTTATTCTTAAGATTCTGGGTTGTATAAATATTAACGAAAAAGAAGTTGAGTTTTTTGTATAGTCTTTTGTAGCTAATTTAACTTAACATCTATTTTCTGTTTCTAGGAGAAAATTAGCGTCTAGTCCTATAGGTTTCAGCAGAGGGACAGTGGTGATTTCGGCTCTTCACTTTGGGGGATTAGGCTTTGCAGGACTTTGTAGCATATATGGGTCTTAGTACCAACTGTCGTTTTTACCTTCAAATTGTAACAAACCAAACCTCTGCTCCTACTCCTTTTCTTGTTTCCAGATGTCTTCAGATAACTGACAGAACAACCTAGGTTGTGCCTGCTAGTTGGTACCAGTGATTCTTAGACATGAGAGTGCACCAACAATACTTGTGGAGGTTTTAAATAAATATAGGTGCCCAGGCATCTCCCTGGAACTTCTGTCCTTTAGGTCTGTAGTTGGTGCCAGGTGTCTATATTTAGCCTGCACACGTAATTCTCATCTAATTTCTAATCAGGGTCCAGTGTTGCTGAGCAGGTTAATAGTCATATTAATTGTGGAAAACTTCTTTCTCAAAAAGGTAATTGAGATGAGACTCTGTATATAGCTTTCTTTAGTGGTATCCAGAATTTAGTCCTTATTAAATACTGGTTACTATTATAGTAAAATGACTTATTCCCTCCAGATACTTTGCTTTCATTTTTTTTCATTTTTTTTTTAGTGTGGTAAGAAATACTAAGTCCTGTGTTCATCTGTAAAATTATTGCCATTGATCCAAGATAGACGCGTAACACATGGATAATGCACACACACGTATATATAACTCATGTATGGGTATCAAATGCTTGCAGTACTTACATACGCAATTCTCAAAGAGCATCCCACAGCATATGGCTTATTAGCATATTTGCATCTTTCTTTGACTTTTGCATAATATGTAATGCAAAATTGAATTGTTATTTGAAGTTTGGTGGCTTGTGTGTTTTATAGAATTTGAACCAAAAAGCCAGCAGTTGTGAATTGTAATTTGCCAATTCCAGTAAGGGACTTTAACGATTTGTAAAACAAAGGAGCAACAAAAGAATTGAATTACTGGCAGACTTTAAAGATGCATTTCTCTTCCATAGGTGTTTCATGTAATCGGCTTGGTCAGCATTCCTGTCTTCGTTGTAAGGTATAGTTATTGTATATGTATGTATTTTTTTAAGTTTTGTTTTTAGTCTCTATATTCTTGTAGCACTCTTTGGATTATTTGTAGCTGTAGTTAACCTATGTAGGACCTTAAACATTATCTAGTTTAATTCTTGTGTTTTTGATATTTAAGTTAAAACTTCAATGGCTTTTCATTAGTTACCCAGTGACTTAGCTAGGGTAGATTTGTCAGCACAAGTCTCTCGATTCCAGGCTAAGTGTTTCATATGCCTGTGTGTATGGAAAACTTTCTGCTCAAAGTTATTTTATAAATGTGTGTGTATTTGTATAAAATGTGTGTAATTGCTGTTTATTTATTTGAAAGGCAGAGCGAGATAGCGGTAGCCGTAGGAGAGAGGGGGAGAAGTCCACAAGCCTCTGTCCATTCTTCTGCTATTCAGCTGTTGGTCTCCTGTGTGACTGGCAGGAACCCAGTTGCTTGAGTCATCACCGCTGCCTCCAGAGTCCGTGTTAGCAAGAAGCTGTGACCAGAGGCTTGAGCTGAGAATGGAACCGTGATACCTTGTGGGATGTAGGCATCTTAACTGCTGTGCCAAATGCCCATCCTGGGTTTCCCTGTCAAAGTGCACCCCTTACAAGAGTTTGGGCATGAAGTGGGAGGTTGCGGATTGTTTTCTTAGTCTACTGCATTTCTATTATCGCTAAGCAGAGGTAGCAAGTGCACTGCCTCACAGTAGCATTTCTCTGGTTCTTACATTCTTGTGATGCGCTCCCCACTCCACTCCTGTTCACCAGGTGGCTTTCAGGCTGCTGAAGGTGCTCAAGCTGTCACGCTTTCAGTTGTGGCCTGTGCTGTGTTTCTGTGCCTAGAACACTCTTCAGTTAGTGCTTACCCAACTTCACTCCCACTCTCCTTCAGCTCTCTGCTAAGACTGCATGTCTCAAAGTCTTTCTGAATCTCATGCCTGGTATTATACCCCTCTTCTTCTCTTAGTGTTTTTTAATTGCCTCTGCACTATCCCATTTAGACTGTATGCTCTGTGTGGTAAGGACGTTTATCATGTTATTAGAGACTCTGAATATTTATATATTTATGAGTGAATAATATGCCTAGATGTCATACTCTGTGTATAGTTAGTCTTTGCCTTGCGTTAGATCTTGGTTCAGAGAAGTCCTGGCAAAACCATTACACTTAAATTGAAATCAGGAATATAACTGTTCCCAAATAACTATCTCTGCCTTACCAAATCTATATCTTTAAGTTTTCTCAAAATATGACATGATATCTGCATATTTAAAAGTTTATTTAATCATATACCTTTACTTGTTCTTTATAGGCTTGCTTCTGTGATGATCATACAAGAAGCAAGGTGTTTAAACAAGAAAAAGGAAAACAACCACCTTGTCCTAAATGTGGGCACGAAACTCAGGAGACCAAGGATCTCAGCATGTCAAGTAAGGCCCTTCCTGAGATGCCCACAGGGTGCTTTGCTTTTCCAGACTGTTGAGGCAAATTTTATCTTTACTCACACTTTCTCTTTTGTGCTACTACAGCTTTGAAAAGATGTGTGTGTTCTGTTAAGCAAGGGTGGTTTTACAGTCTTGAAAAGCATGTGGCTAAAAATTTTCAATTTAAATGAACATACCAACATTCACATTTTTTTGGCCATAGTTGCTGACAGTAAGAAGTGAAATTAAGTGGAAAAATGATTATTCTGTTTTTGCTAAGGTTTCCTTATTAAATAATTGTAAATATTATTCAAATGTTGGTAATCATGAGTAGTTGGGAGTCACATTTTTTTCTGAAACTGTTTTTAGGTGTGTGGTATTTGAGCATTGTGCTTAAATAATACATCAGTACTGTAGGAAATTGCTTTCTGGCTTTATATGACTCTTTCAGGAAGGAAGAAGACTACTAAAAGCACTTAGCTCAGTTTTGTTAAAAAGAAATCTGACTCTTTATCAAACAGAATGGCGTCATAATTTTGAACAGCTGACAGTTCTGTGTTTAAGGACATGGTAGCACAATGCGATGAGATTGATTTTTCTTATTTTCTGTTCTAACATTTATGTTGCTACTAAGGGAGAAGAGGTTTTGTTTTCAAGGACATTTGTGTTGTAAAAGAATGTGTTAGGGAAAACCTAGCGTTATGGAATCTGCCGATATATTGCTTATGTGGTTTGGAAATAAACTGTTAGTTGCCCAAATGATGAATATTTTAACTGTAAATGCACCTTATTATCTCTAGTTATTTTTGTCTGCATTTTGTTTTCTATCTTTGTGTACATTTAATGGAAAGCTGCTTTCGTGTTTTATTACTTGTTATGGTATATGCTTAGTCATGCGAAAACTAAGAAAATACAAGCTTTGTCCTTGGGGAGTGAAGTCAGTAAAGCTCATGTGATTTTATATATTCTAGAGGAAGAATGAGTGTGTAGAGGATTGCGACTAATGACAATGCCTTGCTATGTTTGTCTCGTGTAGCGCGCTCCTTGAAATTTGGCAGGCAGGCTGGAGGTGAAGAGGGTGACGGAGCTTCTGGGTATGACGCTTACTGGAAGAACCTTTCATCTGACAAATACGGGCAGAGCAGCTACCACGAAGAGGAGGAGGAGGAAGAGGGTGAAGCAGAGGATGATGAGGAAGAAGAAGATGAAGGTGGAAAGGATTCAGATGCTGAATCATCAGATCTGTTTACAAACTTGAACTTAGGAAGGACCTATGCCAGTGGCTATGCTCACTACGAGGAGCAAGAGAACTAGGGCAGCGGCTCGGCCCTTGCAACCGTGTGTCCGGGGAGTGGGAAGATGTGTGTGCTTGATGTGCTGTGAGCAGAGGTTCAGAATGAGAAGACTGACCCACTTACTGGGCCAGCGTGGAGCACATGGCATTTTTATAGGAACTGATAATCAAGCTTAAAACACAAAACAAGGTTCAAATGTAAGATGTTTATGGATAAGCAAATAAAGCATCATGGATTAGCTTATTAATGATCTCAGTAGTCTAGTAGGTTTGCCAATTAGATCCATTTATATAGGATAAAGGAATAGCTCAGTAATATATTTACTTGAAATTACTGGTTTTATTTAAAAAAACTGCTTAAAAATTCATTGTATCAGATTTTATAAAATGTATTGGATAAATGGATGACTGTATTTTTGATTTTATGTCTGTTCACAAAATAAGTATTGCTAAAATTAAATTTTCATTAAATCTTATGTTATCTTAAGTAGATATGATTTTTATCAATTGACTCATTCCATCTCTTCACAGTGTGTGTTTGAACTGTCTAAATGTATTTAAAAAGGTGTCTACTTACCATTTTTAGATATAATATCATTACAGATGTCTTACTCAGGAACCTTTATTTCTTTTTGAATAAATTAGTATTTCTCATATGTGCTTTTGAAACAATTCTCAATTTTTTCAACTCATTTTGGAAGGTATGTCAGCTTTTGGGATAAACTGCTTTGTTTTACACCAATTACATAAATAGATATCAGTGATTAATTATTTGGTAGACACAAAGATACACAGCCGAGACCCATCATTGCTGGTAAGTGGAGAACAGTCAGTCCTTGGCTGAAGTTCCAGTGAGAACATAACACTGACAGTGAATTGAGGCGGTGTTCCTGGTAGAAGGGAAAGCAGTTTCTGATTCTTAGGCATTTTGACACAAAGAGAAACCTGATGGTTATTCCTGTACCATTCTTGTTCAGTAAAGGAAATGAGCAGCTGAGGGCTGAAGCAGGTAATGGAAAGCCAGGCATGAAAGCCACTGCCACTCAAGTTGAATATGAAAGAAATTTTACCTCTTGCAGCATGGCTGAGAAAATTGAGCATCAAGCTAAACATTTCATAGACTGAATGGATGAAAACTTTAAAGGCAGATCTGTTATGCCAGAGTCAAATAAGGCGCAGCTTGGGAAAACCTCAGACTGTGATAGTAAAAATGGATGCTGTTGACAATTTGAACCAACGCCCCTATGGGATCTTGGTACATACAGGGCGAGGACTTTAACCACTAGGCTACTGTGGAGGGGCCTTCAAGCATCATCTTACTCACTACACCATAATGGCTAGCCCAGGCTATCTACTTTGAGAAGTGCCGATAGTAGGAAAGCCTTTGCAGCAGGTTTACATTACAGAAAACAAAAACAAAATAAAGAAACCATGCCTCTTGGGCCGTGGAGTAGGTGCTGTTAATACTGAAGATAATTGTGACATGCTAAGGTATTGAGTTGATGACAAACTGCAGTAGGAGATTCACAAATGCAAACAGGAAGATATTCCATGTAGACTTACTCCTGTTTCAGCACAGTCACCAAGCTACAAGGCTTATTGAGTTACCAACACTACATGTCACACCTGTTACCAACTGGGGCAGTACTAAACCCTTGTTGCAGCATCACTGTCTCAGGAAACAGGTAAAAGCAGCCATCCTAGCAAGGTCAACAGTTTGTTTTCAGTGAAAAACATTCTGGAATGCGTTTTATTCTTGTGGAGACTTATTTAGCAACAATACATGAGGGTTTATGGAGTATTTTTAATATTCACTGTGACTCAGTAGAGAAAATGAATGTGTGGCAGATTGAATGGTGAAACTTCAAATCCTTGTCCACCTGAAAACTTAGAATGCAACTTTCTTGGGATGTAGAGTCTTTCCAGAATTAATGAGTAAAATAAGGTAAGGCCTTACTGTATTAGGCTACATCCCAAACCCGAAGACTAGAGTCCTAGGAGGAGGGAGGATGAGAGGGACACACGGGAAGGCCATGTGTAAGGACACGGGCTGAGACGGACGTGACGCAAAGTCAGACTGCCACAGACTGCCTGCACACCCCAGAAGCTGAGAGAGGAACAGGGAGCAGAATGCCTGCTTCTCAGGGTGTCCAGAGACATCAGCCGCCCCTCCACAAGCCCCCTGATATCAAACTTCGAACCTTCTGAAATATGAGAAAACATTGCTGGTGGGTCATCCAGTTGATGGCCATTTGTTCCAACTCTGGAAAACAAAAGTGTCTTGGAGACCAAAGGTGGAAGCCGCCAATGCCACACCCCCTGGTAGGGATCTCTGGGAATTCCATGTCCTCAAAAGACATATTTCTTCAGGACACCTAATAAGTGTTACTTCTCATTCTACGCCGTGCCTGCCATCTTGCTATTTGTCATTTTTTATGATCAGCGATCAAGCGTTAAAAAGAATTCTCTGGGCATGGGTAAGCGATTATCTTCAGCAGAAAGAAGTAGTGCTGCTTTACATAGTGGGGGCAGGAGGGGAGTAATTAATATCAAGGTGATTCTTCCTATAGCCCTTGTACCTTTTTACCCTAATTAACTATGTAAAGATTGTCAAAAATATAATAAAGAAAAAATAATAAATTCAAGGCGATTCATTGAGCTGGTTCTGGTTCTTTTCCTTGAGGTTGTAAGTGTATATGCATAGACATGGTCACTTGGCTTGAATAGGCTGACTGGATCTGTCAGGGAAGAGGGTCTGCATCATGCCACCAGGTGCGGCTGGCATGGTCATAGTCACGTGGATTCGAGGTCTGTGTCAGCTGCAGAGAGCTGCCTTGGCTGAATTAAAATCATTTCCAGGGTGACTTGAGTCCTTCCTTAGTGACCGAGGGATTGGTTTGATTATTTGGGCTCAACCTGGCCCAACTACAACAAATAACTCCTCTGTTAATATTCTTCTACAGGACTTTAAAAGCTTTTCTCTTGTATTTGATTCTGGTTTGGCAAACTTTGCTGGCATAGTAGCAGTGTATGTGAGGGTGACCTTTATAAGTCACCTACAAGCTTCTGCTCGTGTAGAATGCATTAGTCCATTTCCGAAAGTGACTCAGCCCTAGAGCCCGCACACCTGCGCTTCACAGAATGACCCTGGTTACTTATTTGCCTAATGGGAACAACTGGAAGGATGAAACTTAATACATTAAGCCTTAATCATATCTGGTGTAATCGGACATGGGACAATTATAAATCAGACGTATTGAAGCATTCTTAATGAGGAATCAGAGTTAAAACACAAAGGGGATAAGGACAAGGACATGTTTGATAATGAACTTGTATAGGAAAGCAGACTATGCCGATCACAGTGTGCCGGTCTATAACACGGTTTAACTGTGAAAAAGCAGCCTTTTTACATGAAGTTTAGGTAAAAGAAAAAAAAAAATCAGCTAGCATTTGCTATACACATGCTATTGAAAATACTAGATTCAGGGAGCATGAAAGTTTTAAAGATGAGCATAACATTATCTAAACTCTTATTTTTTTAAAAAAAAAAATTTATTTATTTTTATTGGAAAGGCAGAGAGGAAGATCCATCCGATGGTTCACTCCCCAAGTGGCTGCAATGGCTGGAGCTGAGCCAATCTGAAACCAGCAGCCAGGAGTTCTTCCAGGTCTCCCACACAGGTGCAGGCTCCCAAGGCCTTGGTCCATCCTCAACTGCTTTCCCAGGCCACAAGCAGGGAGCTGGATGGGAAGCAGGGCTGCCGGGATTAGAACCGGTGCCCATATGGGATCCCGGCACGTGTAAGGCAAGGACTTTAACCACAGTGCTATTGCACCAGGCCCAATCTAAACTCTTAAAGCTTGAGTTTGTTATGAAAAAATATGATTCAATCCAATGTTAAGAGTAGGTAAGGTTTGCTTATATTTTCTCTGTTGTCCACTTTGCTTTAGCCTCATTAACTCATTGAATTATCACAACAGAGGTAGCTCACAGAATTTTGCTCCTGAGGAAGCCACATTTAGGAGTAAAGTGTTTGAACTGTCTCTGGGGCTACTGAGGCAGAGCACGGTGGCTGTTGTTACTGTCACCCAAAACTGACAGATCCACTGCCTCTGGTCCCTGTGAGCACAGGCCCAAGGCATCCATCAACTCACCCCCGAGGTGTGTCTTGGTTTTGTTTTTGCTGCAGAGGCTTGGGCTGCAGCTGGACTTCAATTTTGAGCAAAGGTGAAGTCTGGGGATGTTCCAGCCTGGTGGGTGTGGCCTATGGAACAAATAAATTTGTGTCCCTTCTGCCTTCCACGGTTCTCTGAAGGCGTCTGTGAAGCCAACACATGAGCTTGTTCCAAGACCCAGGCCCTTCAGGACCCTGCCTTGCCAGACTTCTCTACCTTTTTGACACTCCCTCCTGTTTTTCGGAGGTCATGCTGCCCAGTAATGTGTTTATCTGGGAAAAAAAGGCCAATGTCAGTGGACATTACTAATCCCATGCTGAAAATACAAGGGCAGATGTGGTGTGACAGCTTGCTAAGCTGCTGCTCGTAATACCGGCATCCCATGTTGGAGAGAGAGTTTGAATTCTGACCATTTTATTGCTGATAAATTCCCCCTGCTGATGTACAAGGTTTGGTGGCATTTCTGTTAGTATGTATGTTTTGTATTTTCCAGAATTTTATATGCATGTACTTTTGCAGTTTTGTTTGGTTGGTTTTGGGTTTCAGCTCTTGGCACTTGTCCAATAATGTCTACATCAATGATGACATTCAAAACAGCTCATGAAATGTATGCAATTAAAACCAGAGGTTCTCAAGCCCTGCCTCTGACTGTCCTCACGGCTGTTGCATTTGGTCTCTGGGGCTTTGTTTTCAGTGTTGCCTCTAAGGCTTTCTGTAGAAGACCAACGAGAATTGAGTCATTAATGAAGCCTGTGAGAAAATTCATTCTCAACACTGGGGAAAGTAAGAAGTTATTACAAAGCAGCTTCTCTTGTCTAGATTCATACTGAGTGTTTCACTGCCACGTTCATGTAAGAAAATGGAAACAGAAGAAAAGTAGTGATTGAGTATCACACCTAAGACCTTGCCCAGTCCTGAAAATACAGCGGTGGATATCTACAAATCCGTGCAGTGAGAGGGCATAACTCCTTTAGAGAAAAACCTACGAGGCAAACACAAGAACAAAGGTCAGGGTTACAAAAGCCCCAGATTCCTTAGCTGGTGCACCTATACAGCAGTGCTAATCTGTACAAGGTTATATAAGGAAGTCACTTTTCTATAATAGAACAACTGAAAACATTCAGGAAAGAAACACACACACACACTGCTGAGCTATGACATTTACATATTACCTGAATAACATTTCTGTAATTGTACTGTGCGCATGTGAAATATTCTTTATCACATCCTTTATTGACTTAAGTTTTTCTTGGTTTTGAAAGAAGACAGATGCAGGTTGAGTACAATCTGCATCTTTTTAACCTTTAAATATCTAGTGCTGTTATCTAAGCCCTTGTATGTATAATATACTTGGCAAGCTCATCAAATTATCTTATTTGGCTGATGCTATCTCTGGTTTTAAAGAGAGATGTCATCCCTAATGCTGTCAGACATTCATAATGAAAACAAACAAAAAGACTAGAGTTATTGAAGCCTTTAT